GCCTCAACGACGAGGGTTTTTTTCAGTTAAAACAATCAGTGATTTCACATCAAAAGTTCACTTTTCACCAGGCATTCAATGCCACAAAAGCAAATTGATTGTTCAACAAAAAACTCACTTGCAAGTTGCCGAGAGCGTTTAATTGATGCCAAGTGGACATGACGCTCTGGGCAGGACCAAATGTAGACAATGACAAGGTGACCGAAATACAAGCCAATGCGTCTTGCATTCTCCTCCGCCACGGAGGAATTCGAAGCAAAACCCGCTTGGGTGGCGACCATCTTGATGTGAGTCGAGGTATGAAGACAGGCCTTTAATCGGAACAAACAGTCCTTCCAGGGCAAGGGGTAGCCTCCAAAGCGGTCGAACATTCGCGGACCTTCACATTTTTGGAAAGTGAATCAGCATTTGAGAAACTTTTTGCCACTACTGTAACAACAAGTACGATGAAAACGTGAGGCACAAACTCTAGCATGAAAAAGGGTTCTTCATACCACACTTCACGAGTGGAATTAGAAGGTCCAAATGAGGAGTTATTTCCAGCCCCAACCACTCAACTGAAGCGGGTCCTACAAGCAAAAAATGACCTCACTTTCCTGTAACCATTGCACCAAACCCACCATCTAACACGACACAGGAGGGTGAGATAATTACGTTGGCAGTCAAAGCATGTAGCAAGCAGCATGCAATTCGCTTGCCTTAACCACAGTTTAGTGGATTTAATCAAAATCCCTGATTACAGCTGGTAATATTCGTAGGGCCAGAAATGCAGAAAAGGGAAAAGGGGTAAACGAATGTTTGACGATGAAAGCGATGTGCGTACCCTTGCCGCTCTCAACATTTTCCTTGGAGAAGTTGGGTCGAAGACCAAACCTGTGCAGATCTTAAAGTAGGGTGTTAGACGAGGAAAGACATACTGCCAAGCAGCGCATCCCGCACAGCGCTCAAGTGCCCTTTTGAGGCAGCAAGGTAGAGGTAGTCATCATGGAAGCGCAAAATCCCAGCCTCCGGTCTTTCTCCACCCCATGGCCTTTTTCGTTCAGCGTCCCAAAAGCAAGAGCTTATTGGGCTTTTCCGATCGACGTAAGCCAGAAAGAGATTCGACAAGTCGGTAGATACGCAAGAACCTTGAGGAATGCCTCTGCTTTGCAAGAGGCGACACCCAGCAAACTAAAACATCGCCTAATTCAGACAGAAGGCCTTGCAATACCCCGCCAATTTCCGCCAGACATCTTCTCAAAATAAATGGGTAATTGCAATAGTCGTGAGGACGTGCTCCAAGACTGTTCAGTTGTTACGCAGATGAACTCAAACATTAGTGAGTTTGGATGATAAGACATAATGAGGTTGGACAGTAAGTCGGTTAGCTCAAGCAAGTAGCTACTTCGTACAAGTGAAGGATTGAGACAGACATCTAGAGCAAAAGTGCTGTGTGTGGATGGTTGACTGGTTCAATTACAACTTGCTAGCAGCTAACCCAAGGAATTTATCATGAAGTTTTCCGTAAAGTGGCAAGAGAAGACGTATCGTTAATACTGGTTAGAAATCTACCTTTATAACATAATTATTGAGGAAGAAGGATAGCTCCGAAACGACAAACTGATCGGAAAACGCCGTATTGGAGAAGAGCATTGCCTAAAAAGAAGGGAAAGCTAGCGAACGCATAATGTAAACAGCATTATATTCATCGGCTTCTCCAATACTCTGCAACTACACAAAACTGGTGATGTACTCACTGAAACAGTAGCAATGTAAACTTTTCAGCTACCGATCGCGGTTGCATAAAGTGTCAAAGCACACCTTCATAGGGGAGCTTCGAAAGGATTTGTCAAATATTACACAATATTGCGAACCAAAGGTGGAGCACAAGAAAAAGTTGAGCTGTTCACTGCAAGCGACGCTCAGTAGTAGAAATCGAACTACCTTCTTTACCGTCTTCTTGAAAACGTCCAACAAAAGGCCATGATCAATGCTATTGAAGCAGTCAGCAATGTCCATCCGTGCAAGATAAAACCTGTGAAACCAAATCAACATGGGCTTACATCTCTGTCAGCTTGGAAGCAATACGAGCCCAGAACCCCTAAAGTAATGCACGATGAGTGATGCGCCATCGTGCCGACTCCTCGGTAAACCTCTGATCAAAATGAGTGGGCGCCCACTCCTCCATGAGTGTAAACTGAACGTTACGCGGTACTGGCACATAGACCCTTTCGATGCTCCTTTGGAATTATCGCAATGATGCCTTCCAACGTGTCACTGTACGAGTCAAAATAGTGAGTCCATTTGCTCAAAATCACTTAACATCGGATTTAAGCGAGGTGGACTGTAAAGCATCAACAAATAAGAGCAAGGATACTCATTCAGACGGTGAGTGCTTTGCCTATGACGCTGCCCACTGGATTTACAGCTGGTCAAAGCAACTCAAAACTTCTAAAGCACTAACAAAACAGCCTACCTCTGTCCCATGGGAAAGAGGGCACGAAGATTGGAGAGTGCCACAAACGCTGAAGGTATATTTGGTAGCGATGGTCGAAAGACAAAAGAAACCTGCACAAAGGAAGACTCCAATATATTGCTTTCAAATGGGGTAGATAGACATTTAGCTTGGCAATGACAATGAATGCATATATTCCTAAATGTACTAAATGGCCGCGAATAAAACCATTTGGAGTACAGTGATAGACGCAGGCACAAATGGCTGTTTGAACCTGATCACGCAAGAAACGAAGGAAATCCACCAAACCACCGGCCTGCCTGAAACGTGCATTGAAACAGGTTGGAATGGAAATCAGTCTGAACTTTCCATTGGATTTGAGAATGAGGTGACCTTTGCACGTAGGAAGAGATCGATTTCTGAGCCACTCTAACGAAGGCTCCTTCAAGAGGCCCTCGTTCAAAAACTCTAAGTTCAAAACAACAGTTTCCTGGTCAATGAGCGTGTAGTTTAAAAAAAGGAACCAATTATAAGCAAGTGCAAAATAACCCACTTCTTAGTCATTATAACAGACGCAATGCTCAAATCAAATGGATTAGCTGAATGTTTCTCCTAATCTTTCAAAGCACCAAATCAAAAAACGGGGAATGCGACGACAGCAGATGTGCCGTCATGCCCCCACTACGTCATTTATAATCCATGCAAATATCACAAAGGCACAACCTTGTTTTTGTTCCGACATCAGAATCGTCCACTCTTCAATGGTAAAGTATTGCACAGCTCCATTCCGTTTATGACAGTAGATGCACCGGAAAACCGACTGAACTCAATTAATTTCCCAATTCGTTATACCTTCAATAGCCTTGGAACCAGGTAGACAAAAACCACGACCACCAGGATGTAGCAGTAGATTCGCCAATATCGTGATTCCTTTTGCGATGGTGGTATCTGACAATGACAATCACGTTTAATTGCCATTACCTTTAGGCTGCGGCACAGCGATCCAACAGACATGTACCCATCCACAGGCATGCTCACAAAGTGTCGTAAATGTGTCCAAACACATACAGTTAAGGCAAGGGCACAAGCACACCTGACAGAGGAATTACGAATAAGAAAAGGATATATAGACTAAAGCGGCTCAAATTCTCCTTTCGCATGAAGCAACACAGAGGGAGGTGGCGTCTGAGACTACGGTAGAGAAGTCCATGCACAGTGCCATGCTCCACTGGGCCCCGATAGTAACGAGAGTAGCGAACTCGATTAACCAAATGACACCAATTGTGGGATGCGTCAAAGAGCTGGTGAATCAACCCACCAACTACCGGTTCCTCCAGCATCTCCGGCAACAGCACTCTCGTTGGCCTCAGAAGTCTCCGCAATGTCTCCTTCATAGACCCACCTGACTGACTATCCTGGTGGTTACACAAACCCCGGCCATTACTTCTGGTGCGAAGAGTCCCAGGTATAATTTGCAACATAAATAACAGCTACAAGAGAACCAAAAGCAGTGTCACCCCCACGATAAGATGCCACATTCACTTATACTAGAAATCGTCCTATATTCATTCCCGACAATTCAAAATAGGTCACGACCTTTTAGCTCAAAACTGGGCGAGTTATACAATTTGTACGCGGCCATACATTCAAACACACCACAAATTTTCAAATAGCACGAAGGCGATACAAGTAAAGTGGAGCAAATGAAAAGAAAAATGCACCCAAAATGAGGTCACTTTTAACCGGGATGGCCGGAAAATCCAATTGGTGCCTAATATGTAAGCGACAATGGTTGGAAACGTCTGTATATTGTTCAACAGACAGGGCTGCTGTGTTAGTAAGAAAATAACGGGCTGATTGAAAAGCCCTAATTAATCAAAAAACTGTGCATATGAATGAAAATGCTACAACTTTACCGAAAATCACGTTAGGCTGTGGTGCTCCAATTCTACCCTGACTATGTACTGCAGCAAGGCAGTACAAAATACAGGTCATTAACGTGCGATAAACCGGGACACTGTATGTCTGATTGGGTGGCCACGCCATCGAGTGTGTTTACAACTTTGTGAGACAGAGGGAAGTTGTGGCTATAAAGAGCGTTAAATCATTATAAGCATAACTGGAATTCCTTAAAAATAAGCTGGCGCGTGAACTGCTCCGACTAATCTACGCAACCGCAAGAAGTAAAACCACTGTGGAATAGAGGTTTTCCAACAGTATGCTGTGGAAATGCGAGACCATAAGCGAGGGCTTAATGCCACATTACCTAACAGGAAAAGGCCCTACCCAGATCAAAGAACTCAATTTGCAAATCAAACAAATATTCCTTTACAACTCATTTCCTCCTTGCATCGCCGTCGTCAGCACTTGTCATGTTTTCCCTTCTGTGCTGACCATCGCAATGCAGTTGGAATTGTAAAAACACAAATTTTTGGCTGTTGCAGCCAGGAGCAGTAGTTAGCGATTTATCGCAAGGAAAGGGTGAGGTTGGAACTCGACGTTAGCAATGTGTCAGATCGATTCCACTGAATCCACTGTTTCACTGTCCTTCTGCTTACTGTGCAGACCTGGAGGGAACATTCTTTGAGTCAGATGCGATTCGTAGAGCATTCACTGGAGGGCCGAGCTGCTCAACGCGACAAAGGGTGTAGTGTAAAGCTGCCTCCCATAACCAATGCCCTGCATTCACGCCTATTTACCACTTCGTCCCCATTTCAATGCTGCTCAGTCCAAGTCACCTGTGGCTGCTCGGCAGGCTGATAATACGGCATCAATTCGCCTGATGAGTACATCCGCACGTGGCTCTCGAGGCAATTGCATGAAGGGCGCTTCAAATCATGAATGTGGCTTCCAGCACCTCACGTTGTTATTATTATGCGCAAGCTCAGCCACACACAGTAGACGTCCTCCATCTGTGAGGACTTCTGTGTATTGCCCCAGTTCAGCAACTGCAGTGATACCCAAAGCTGTACTAAGTCAGGCCAGTGTGAAAGAGGACAAGTGTCACTAATGGGCGAAGCCAGAAGGCTATAAACAAGACAGAATATCAGGTCACGAATCAGAAGCCCTAAGAGCGAAGATGCAACAACAAACAAAGACCATTTCATCAAACGAATTTGTTAACTGCAATTCCACAGTCTGATGTGTTAGCCTCAAACACGCCTAAAACGGGGTTTCCCAAGTCTACAATATCATGAAATAAATAAAATAAAATGTAAGCATCCAATTTGATAGCTACACACGTGAGATGGCTTCAGTGAGCCGCCATACGAATGAGGGTATTTGAAAACATTATTTTTAGCAACATGGTAGAATGCTCACGTGTTCCACTAACTTCCTTTAGACCAGACGCTGCCTACTTGCCTAGTGAAAGCGCAAAGTGGCCTGTTTTACTACGATCTGTGAAATATCTAGCACACACAATTTCGTTGATCAGGATGGTAATAAGAGAAGACCGCACCCACCACGTCAGGACATGGGCAACACCAAATAGGCAGACAGAGCTTCACAGCTCTCTGGGTCTGGCAAGCAATTACAGGTGTTGCCTTCAAGGCCTTGCTACGATTGTAAATTCACTGCATTAGTTAACGAAAAAGCAAACAAACATATTCAAAGGGAAGAAAGTCTGCAATGAAGAGCTTAAGCAACTGGGGCAAACACTCTGCTCTGCAACAATTGTAGCACTTACCGATTTTGAGCCAAACCACTGTCCAGCCGTCCATCGCCGATACTGATGCTATTGGTGGAGCTTGTGGGTGGCGCACTCTCACAGACAAATTATTCGATTTACGATAAACACTTCCTTCTATGTTCAATAGCTACCCTCCATGATAAAGTTAGGCCTTATGGAGACACTACCGACTGGAAATAAGTTTAGGTGTGCGTATTATCTGAAGAATGAAAGACACAAGCCGTTACTCTGTAAGAAACCCTATTTAAGGCGTCCACTGGAGTCGGAGCTCAATCCAATAAGAAAACACCTAATACATAGTCGTTTTCCACATTTAACTTGAACATAAGCCTCTCAGCAAGACAAACATTGAAGTTTTGTCGATACTGTTTCTCCGTACAGACGTGTAGATCTTAATATATGCCCTATTTTAGCAACGCAAATGGGTCCTATCAGATGTAGCACTTTAAAGTAGTGGTCAATGTCGAAAGAAATGCACTGCCACTTTTAATATCCGCCATCCGTATACTTGCATTTAAAATGAACCGCTTTCATCTCAAGGTACGTGTTAACGATTGCGCTTTAATACCACTCAATAATCTTCCAAATGTCGTATCCAATCAGTCAGTTGCCTAGTATCAGTTAAGATTCAAACTCTTTATATTTTGAGAGACATCGTTAGCCTTCCAGCATTATTTAATTTTTGCACTGGACAAAATCCCTACAGAAAAATCTCTAACCTAAGCTGACAAAATGCTTGCACCTAGACAAGTTTCATTAAAAGGCAATTACCAAAGAGTAGCACGGGATAGTTAGGACTTGTGTAATGAATTGTTCAAACAGCTTTGTTGTTTTAGGTCAAATGTCTGTGACTTAGAAAGTTTTGCATAACTTAATATAGTTTGAATTTTTGAATAGGTATCCGCCTTGCATGAATGTAAATGGTTGTACGCTACAGTCTGTGTGCTTAAACCGGCAAGTGTTCGATATGGTTCACTCCCTAATGGAGTATTTTCATGTGTACTTGTACGGATTGTTTTCGTCCAACGTTTTCAATTTAAGATCAACTCGCCTAAATTCCAGTGTTCGGCATTCAAGTGTTGTATTTAGGCATTCTTTCGTTTATGTGTTAGTCTTTTGTTATGTTATTTCTTCTCCTGCCATTGTTTTTATGTTCAGCTGATCGAGTTCATCCGATTTTAGTTTGTGCAGTTTTGCAATTTTCGTTTCCTTAGTTGCAGGTTGCTAGGGCATTTCATGGACTTGGTACCTTGTCGTGTTATTATTTAGTATTGTACGCATATTTTATATAGCATGCAATCGTTGCCTACTGGACGCAGAAGACGTATCGATGTCAACGGAGTTTCCCTCATTGATCTCAAGGCGGAAATCGCCCGTCGTCAAAGCGAGGTAAAAACGAGGGCCACCACCATCCCAAACGTCACAGGCGCGGTACTAAAGCGGGCTGGTGATGGGAGCGGTGTAAATGTCCTCCTTAGGCGGCCTCCCTCACCTTTCCAGAAATTAAAGGCGAAAGAAGAGGTGTTTGGAGCGAAGGAGGCTACCGAGGAGGATACTGACTGGGAGCGAGCTCGACGCAACCTGGAGGCGAAGGCTCGTCTCTACGAAGCTCTGAAACAAGCTGCTATTACGCATAGTAAGGAGGGGGATGATGACGATGACAGAGCTCCTCTTGTTGATTTTGGACGGAAGGCTGTGGAGGAGAAACAATGCATCACCGACTCCAGTGATGAGGATGCGGATGAGGATCGTAGTGGTCCCTGTCAAGGTTTGTGGCGCTTGAGTTCATGCGCGCCTATCAATGCTGTAAATTGTGTGCGAACTGCCTCAGTGATTACCAATCACTTTGTACGAAGTCTACTTGTTCGTGTTTTGATATACGGAGTACTTCTTAAATATGCATTTATTTCTAACAAACTTTGCATAATTTATTGGAAAGCACACCTTAGATTCAGCGAACTCTCTTTATCGTTAGTTGGACGAGTTTTCTGCTCCTTCGAATGGTTTCCTTCGATTCCCCTTTATCTCACTTCATCAGTTCGCAATTTGTTGGGTATCACTTAGATTAAATGCTCCTGAAGTTTTATTAGTGCTACTGATCCCATAGCACTACGGACTTAGTAATTTCGATGTCAATATTCTGAAGCAGCTTTCATCGCTTCAATCAAGCAGTATTCAACAGATGTGTAAACCTCTTGACAGCCTTCACATTCTTTTAGAACTACTTATATTTTAAAAGTAAAAGTAGAATTCATCAAAATAATACAGTTGGATGTTAGTTTATAATGAATGGTGTTTACAGTTACAACGAGAATTTCTCCATTTTCCCTCCAGCAAGACCATTTTCTCGCGTCACAGCTGAGCCAGTAAGTATTCCAGAAGGCCCAGTGACCTACGCGCATTTACGACAGGGAGAAGTTCGTGATCATGGCACGGGCTTCTATGCCTTCTCGGCCGACGCGGAGCAGCGCTTAGCGGAGCAGGCAGCGTTGCGTGAGCTGCGTCGTCGGACCGAGCGAGCACGAGAGCGAGTAGAAGAGGAGCGTGCAAAGCGCACTGTTGCAATGGGTCGGCGGTTGGCGCAGCTGCGTGCTCGCAAAGGGCTTCCAGACGTAGCCACGGCCGCCGCCAACTTGCTCGAGAAGAACGTCGCCCCGTCGCAGCCATCACCAACCCCTCCTTCACCGCCTCCACCTGTCTCTGAGGGTGCTATCGGTGAACAACTGTGCTCCGACGATCTCGACATTGCTTCTATGCTACGTCGTCTGCGTGACGAGGCGGAGGTGAAACAGGCGGCAGCTGCTGCGGCAATCGCCTCTACCACAGCGACAGGTTCACCACTAAAAGATACAACTCTTCCCTCCAATGCGCCGACTCCGTTGTCGAGAAAACGCCCCACAAGAGAGTGGGATCGTGGGAAGTCTTTCATTTCCCCACCGCCTAAAAGTCGCTTTACTACCTATACGCAAAAACTGACTGACGAAAGGAATCCGGAGTTTGCACCACCTGATTTTTACAGCTAATCATTTGCGTCCCTTGTGCATGGAAATGCTAGTGTATACAGTCTTGTCCAAGTATTTGACTTTCGCACACTGTAATTCCCAATGTTTTGGACGGTGCATGTCTGTGCAGTGAGCAGGTCGGTTGCAGTCACTTTTGCAACGACTTGTTTGCATTCATTTAGTTGTTTCGCGGAAGATAAAATTAGCGAGCATTTCGCTGGGCCAGATTGTGTTTTTCGTGTCACTTAAGGCTGGAATTATCATGTTCAAGCAAATTGTGCAAATGTGATTTGGTGTATGGGAGTTGGAAACACTCGAATGTTCAGCTAGATGTAAGATCTCTGGAGTGACACTGATTACTTCTGGGAATTCGCGACCTCGTGTGACCGTGACTTTTGCTGAGCGTGGAAGCGATTTCAATGTGAAACACCACCCCAATTGCGTTTCAGCGACTCACGTTGCTGTCGAACTTGGAAGATCATCATCAATGAGTGCACCACGTTTACCAACAATCTGATCTTACAGTGCCAAGCGCATCGACACCAAGTTAACTTCGTGCCTTCGTTTGGGAGTCCGCATTCGAGATATAATTGCTATCCAGTGCAGGACATCCTTGGCGGTGATGTCGCGTTGGGCTTCCCTACTCATGATCCATGTGTTTTCGATTCTGCAGTTGGATACCTCACGGAAGCACTAGGCGTGAGTCTGTAGATCGGCCCTCAAAACCTGTCATTAACAGTTATCCTTTTCTGTATTCAAGCACATGACTTATGCAGACGCATGGTCTGAGGTGAACAGTGCGTTAATGAGCCTAACAGGTAGTGTAGAACCTCCGTGTGCAGCCACTTGTGAGTCATGTCCCACCTTCCAATGGGGGATTGGTTTACCATGTTGGGAAGAAAAGCAGCTTTGTGAAAGTGCCACTTAACGTTTTGGAACACCCGTGTGTGGTGTAATGCGGTTTGATTAACTCAGAAGTCGGGGCGTGGACCTCACATCATTCGACAGTGATGGTGTGGCTGGGGGGATGCTCTGTTGAAACTTTGCTCGTCTAATCAAACGGGGGAATGGAGGAAGGTGAGCGCTTTATAGCCACCTTATTGACCTTTACGCCCATCATCTTCAATCAGAAGTGGGCATGTACCTTGGTGGCCGGATTTAATTACCGAATACGCCATCATCATCACACCGTACACAAAAAATCTGGCCAATACAGGCCAAAGGTGAGAAAGTTTTCCCGCACTCCCACATTGCACATCACGCACGTCCCTCCACCCTCCTCCCTCCCACGTTCAGATTCGCATGTCCGTTGCCTTCATAAAAGCGGGTCTAATGAGGTCATATGATGTGTTGCTGGGTCCTCAAAGCCAACTTTGTAGTCACAAATGTTGGTGTACGAATGCTGATGCAATGATCCTACCACTAAGTCGGACAGAATATTCCACCTTTTCTCGGTACCAATGCCCTCATTCGTTGTCAAATTTTTTGAGTTCATCTTCTGTTCCGTATCTTCTGTTTATCTAAACAGTGGCTTCAAGTGATTGCAATAGCATTCAAATGACCATACTTGCAATGTAGTTGCCTATTCCATGCGAATCAGTTCCAAGGTCCACCTGAAATATCACGAATGCCGTAACACGACGCGCACTCATTTGGTCTGATTAAACCAGTGCGGTCATTAACATCCAATCTCGCAATCATGAAGATGGCAACGCATTGTAAGCATTCCACCACAAATGTAGTTTCGGTGCATAGCCATCCCATGGCTTCGCTGTCTTTAATTTGTTTCAAGCACAAAAATGTAGAGGTGTTATTTGGTGGAAGAGCGTATTCGATACACAGAAAGACGTTGTCATAAAATCGCAAATTGCCTTTCCTGCCTGGCAGTATGCACAACATGTGGCACCAGTGATGCTTGAGTTTATAGGGTAAAAAACTTCGGTAGTCCTTTGACGAATTACTGAGGAACCACCATGTTGGAGGATGGTTAAGGTGTAATCATTGGTAGTTGGCTGGTTTTTAAAAAGGTAGCTCTCTTTCAGTGGGCAGTTAGGGCAAGAAAGACAACCAGCCGTAACACCTGGAGTCACCCCTCAAGACGTAATAAGGCACAGCAGCATGGCAGAAGTGTTTATCATTGTTTGCGCACACAGGAGCTGGATGCCTGAAGACATGGAACAAAAGCCATGGCGCCCACATGCTGACTAAAGCCACAGAGATTGAAGAGCCTCTTTGGCTAAATATTGCATTCAGACAAGTGTTGTTGGAGCACAATTTGCTTCAGTGAAACGGACTGCAACAGTGAAGCGAATCAAATGCAGAGGTGATTCGCTCCTGACATGTACAGCTTTGTTTTCGGAAAAAGTCATTCCCCAGTGTGAGCTTAGACTGTGCACCCCTCCGAAAACACCTCATGGGTCGTCAACTCACCCCAATTGAAGCATCGCCAAAGCCAGCACAGTTTGATGGTCGCTATACAACAGTGGATTTTAAAAGAGTGGAAAATGGCTTTCTTGGTTGGGGTTGGTTTCTATTTTTTGGCGGAGGCAGCCAATACGTTCGGCTGACAAATCACTTTCCGGTCCCAATTATGTGGGATGTCGCAGCAAAACTGACACACTCAGGGCAAATGTACCTGTACTTGAACAGACATATTAAACGTTGTTGCCTCTGTTAAGGTTCATTGGGACTAAAAATTGACAACACCGTCTCCTTCCCCCAGTTGCCGGCTCTTACGCAGTTCCACAACAGGTTGGCCTGACAGGTGTCTTTGTCTCGCAAGTTTTCCAAGAAGTTCGCACGGAATGCAGAGCAGAAGGACAAATCGAAGGTGAGGGAAATACAACATTACATGTGGTGATCATTTGGAAATAACTCCAAATTCAACTTTGCTGAGAGCATGTAGAAAGAAGCAAGTGCTGGTTCAGGTGAAGGTCAATGGCGGGAATGCGATACCACAGTTGCACAATTCTCACACCATATCTAGGAGGATCTGATTTTTTCGGATACTTTCTTGTGTATCTTCAGTTCAAACCTTCATTGGTACCTCCTGAATTCGTAATCACCACATCCATGTGTACACTTTAACAGCATTGCTGCAGCTAATGGAAGGGAAGGGCTATCCCTTCTAGCTAAGAGTACCGAAAGTAAATGGTCACTGACGAGGAAATACATGGTGTCAATTACAGGCGGTGTACTGCAGGCATATTCAAATCTCCTAACTTTTCAATGCCTAACTGGCAATTCCCTCGCGCGATCCTTCAAGCTCACGCGCTGCTGGATTTGTGGACTCGCATAAAAACTATTAAGTAGTTACTAACATTTGAATCATTGCTAAATATTACATAACGAGATTATTGATGCTGACCGAATTACTAAAGTCGAGCAAGTTTTGCTGGTGGATTGCACAAGTGGAAATGATGTGCACCTTCCTCGGAGAAACGTTGCATTCTTTCAATTGAGTCAGGAATGCTACATTCTCATGTGCTCATTTCTGGCAATCTCGGTGACAGGCTCTCCTCCAATAACTCGGAATCTCCTGACACTCGAGGTGGTCTTGTGTGAAAGAAATGCATTTTGCGCATGCAATTTCCCTTCAGACATGCTGCTACTGCACTCTTCTTCATTGTATGTGATCGCGGGCTGTCTGGCTGCCAATTTGCCTACTTCCACTCTTCTATCCACTTCTCTCCCTGTCGCAAGCGAAGCGATCACTCAAGTCTTTGGACTACTTCTGGCTCCATTCGGTAGTACCATGGAGCCACTCATCCTCCAACATTGGTTTTGATTAACTCATGTCGATGGATTGGAATAACAGCGAACAAATTGGAGTGCTAGTGACTCCTTGCTGCCAGAACTGAATACACCAAATCTCCCTTCCCTTTCCTCAGAGTGGTTGCAATGGTGAATCAAGTGGAAGTAGGTATCACGTGCTCAGCTCAGTTATGCTGGCACCTTCAGTGCTATTACTCTGACTGCTAAAGCTCGAGAGGGTTACGTACAATTTATCGTGCCTCTTGAGTTCAAGTCCTTGGGGGTAAGACAACTCGCCCCACCTCTTGGCTCATCGAATGTGTGGGAAAACGCAGAATGAAAGCAACGTGGCCTCCGCTTTGATTATGAAATGCAGTCAATCCATACACGCAATATTCGTCTCAAGCATCGGATATGCTTTTTCGCTTTCGAGAAGAAAAAGCGTGCAAATCAACTTCTTTGCATATGCAATTACTGGATGAATTGCTAAATGACATTGCTGGACGATCTTCACAAAGGAGTTAATTTCCGCTTTTCTAACGTTACTTTGCCCGTTCTGTTTAGTGTGTTTCTGCAATCCATACTTTGATGAAGCGCGTTACCAACTGTAGGGTGAGAGTGAGCAGTTTACGCAGATTTGATGCGGTTTACAAGGCGACAGCTTTCGACCAAACTTACAAGGGCATAAATTTAAAGGAAGAGCATGCTAGAGTCGATTCCACGTTCGACTACTGCATTTTTGAGCAGATCCCCCTCCCCCCCCCCATTTTACGCTAAGCAAATGTGGAATTCCCTCCTGCAATAGTTCCATTTCTATCCTCTTGTAGACACCAATGGTACAGGCTTTTAGCATTAAATGCTGCTCGGGTTCACAGGAAACACAAGATACACGTATGGGCGAATATGCATAGTTAATGGCTTTAGTACTGTTAACTGAGAATAAAAGATGCCTATTCTGAAACTCTGTTGAATGAATGAATGAATGAATGAATGAATGAATGAATGAATGAACGGGATGCATGGCTCTGACATGCAGGATGATCGCACGTCGCAAATTGAAACAGTGCCCTCCAACTTGGTTAAAGTAAACCGCTGGCCAAATGAATGAACTCACTGCTGCTGATTCAAGCACATTCCATTACACCATAAGTTAAGTAGGCGGGTGGGTACGAGAGACATTTTTTAACGCCAAACCACTTGGGCGGACATCAAGATAAGTATCTCATCCCATCCCGAGAGAAGCCGTAGCACTTACGCCAGCCTCTTTGTGTGGACAGAGTACTCTCTACTCCACCCTCGGCCTCCTTCCCTCCTTCCCTCCTTCCCTCCTTCCCTCCTCCCTTTCTTCCTCCCTGCTCTATACTCCTATCTTGCCACAATATCTGTTGCGTCGACACGTGGCATTAGGATTTGGGAATCTGCTCTCATACAGCTTTGCTTTCCCCATCTCATTACCGCCTTGCCTCCTCCCTCTCGACTACAGCATTATGCGCGAGATGGATTGGGATGGGATGACCATTAACTCCGCGGAACAAATGCGCCAATGGCCTGTGATATGCTACTGGCCACTCCAAGGCTTCTATTCAATGGCCTCACCTGAAGAGTCTCCTACATGTTTGATCGACTTCCCTCAAACGGTGTGATTTGCGGCCACCATCCGGGCATTAATGCTGGAGCATAGCCTCTACGAGGCATCCTGGCTCCCCGTCACACAACAACCGTCTTGTCCAGCATTGTGCGTCTCACTTTCCTCTCCATTCAAGTGCAGGCGATACCAATGGATTTCCTTAAAATAATGTGATAAACAGACCTACAAATGTTTACGTTTATTTGTTTATTTTCAGTTATCTGTACAAATTCACAAAGCCACTTTCCTCTGTGAACCTAATACTCTGCTTGCATACAAGTATATACACATACATACACACAGAGGAAATTGTG